CGGGGATTCACCGGACCTTTTTGTTTCCCTAAAGTTTATCATTTATTTCTAATAATCCACATGTTAGTTTCTGAATAAACTCTCATATTCACAGTCATTCTGAGGCTGATAAATAAAGATTTTAGTATGGACCCTTTTCACAAAGAGTCGCGATTACTCCCGGCTTAAGTGTTAGCAGGGTAAACTCGCTTCCGTTCCATATAACTACTGCAGAAGCGATGACAAAATGTTATAGTAGTGAACTAAAATGCTCCAATACTGAGGTACAACAGCTATATTTTAGTTTTCCTGCACTGTCATGACAAACAGTGAGAATAAGAAGTGGATGGAAGCTCTGACTTAACTGTAAACAGAGCTAAAATGCTGTATGTGTGGGACAGCCTTGTTTTTGCTGCAGCTGCTTCACAGCAAGCAGCGTCTGTGTCTTTCTACAACATGCCAGTGATTTCGCTAATATTTCTGTCTTCAAAAGAAAGAAGAACTTATATATGTGGCACAAATGTGATGTAGTCTGTTTATATTAAGCTAGCTATGCTGGCTAGAAGCTACTGCTAACAGTAACGTTAGCTATTATCCCAAACTAACGCTAGATTACCCGGCTAACATAAAGCAGCATCACCAGTTCATTTTGCACTCATCTTTAAAAAGCTAATGCAAGCAATAAACCGTCAACGAAATAATCCTTACAGGATCAGCTTGGTACGGACAGCTAACGTTAGCTGGCACATTATGTCAGAGACCTTACGTGGCTCTTCCCAGATCACATACTAGCTAACCTAGCTAGCTTATGTCAGGAAATGGAAATCCAAATGTCACCGCATAACCGCGATGCTAAGATACACGTTAGCTAGGAGTCGCGTTTTTGATTGAGCAGTGAAAGGCGGATGTTTTCCGAAGTACTTCTTCAAAAATTGCCATGAAACTAAAATAAAGATGCTGCTTGGCAGGTCGCTAACATAGCCAGCCAGCTAGCTTTAAAGTTTGCTACTGATATGAAGTTAGCTAGTGTTCCTTGAACTTTTAATGGTAGGCTAGCTAATTAGCGACTGTAGCCTGCTAGCTACCATAAGCTAAAAGAGAGTTTAAACGAGGTCTATGAAATAGACTTTACATACAAAAGTTTTGGTTTGCGTTTATAATATTAGAGAAATCGCTGGCCTGCTGTAAATGTGTCACAGAACCTGCTCCACGTTAGCCGGCTGGTGCCAGCAGCTAATGAAAGCTAGCTTCCTTGTTTGGGAACACAGCTACATTTAAAAATGGCCTCTAGCGTAGCTAGGCTAGCTACAGCTAAACAATGTCTAACAAATTCATACTATATATAAAAGTTCTTCTTTCTTTTGAAAACATTACAGAAATATTACAGAAATCACTGGCAGGTTATTCAAAGACAGAGAGACTGCTTGATGTGAGGCAGAAGCAGCAGCAGTAAACAGGGCTACACCACACATAGAGATACACACAGTTTAGCTGTTTACAGTTAAATCAGTGCTTCCATCCACTTTCTGTTCTCACTGTTTGTCGTGACCGTGCATGAGAACTAAAATATAACTAGCTGTTGTGGCTCAGTGTTTGAGCATTATGGTTCACTACAATAACATTTTGTTATCGCTCCTGCAGTGGTTGTATGGAGCGGAAGTTAGTTTCACCCTGCTAACGCGTAAACTGGAAGTAATCGCACTCTCTGTGAAAAGGGCCCATTATTGTTTATTATTTATCTGTGGTGTGTGAAAGAGTAGATTGTCTGTGGTGTGTGACTGAACAGATCATCTTTGACATGTGACTGAGTAGATTATCTGTGGTGTCTGCCTGACCAGATTCTGTAGTGTGTAAAAAAAGTAAATTGTTTGTGGTTTGTGAAAACTATCTTATCTGTGGTGTGTGAAAGAGTAGATTATCTATGGTGTGTGAAAGAGTAGATTATCTGTGGTGTGTGATTAAACAGATTATCTATAGTATTTGTGTTGTGTGTTTAAGGAAATTATCTGTGGTGTTTTTTTAGTACATCTGTCTGTGTTGGTTTTTGTGGTGTGATCAGACTATGTGTGGAATGTTATTGAGAAGAATGGCTGTGGTTTATGAGTGAATAGTTAAAACATAAATACACAAATAATCTACTTAGTCTGACACCACAGACAATCTACGTAAACATAAACAGATAATCTTCTTCACACATTTTCTAAACCACATATCCTTCTGGGTCGCAGGGGGGGGGGAGCTGGAGCCTATCCCAGTGGTCATTGGGCAGAAGGCAGGATACACCCTGGACAGGTCGCCAGTCCATTGCAGGGCTTCTTAAAAACAACTATGGGAAAAAAAAAAATAATTTAATGTTGATTGAATGAAAGTCTTATAAGGACCCCTGGAGGGGATGGAAATAAAAGTAAAAATTAATTTGAGTGAACGTTTTGCAGTTTCTATGCACATTTTCTTTTATTCATGAGAATCAATTAACAGACCCTACAAGCAAGTCTCATAATAACACAGTTTAATTCTAAGGGATAAATCGGTCATGCAGAAATGATTTACGACAGGAACGTCATCAGTTGAGCTCAAGAAAAAAAACAAGAAAATTGTAGCATATGGGCCCTTTAATACACCACAGGCCAAAAGTACGAATCAGCCAGTGTTTTTATTTCTTGACATCAAATTTAATCAAAGAAGTTTCTTCTAAAATATCTGGAAGTGTGTTTTCATAACTGTCTCAGTGTTTCATAAAATAGTGAATGTAATCTAATTGTCAGTGTAATCTAATTGTAATTAGGGTTCTTCATAAACAGAGCAGCCTCTTCTCTGATTGGTTATGTGAGGAAGATGACTTGTGATGTCACTCATGTTACTTGTTTCAGTTCATTTTAACATGTAACACCTGCTTGATTTACTTACACATTTATGAATAAATCCATGATTCTTTTGATATTACACTGTTTTGGTCAACATCACAGGGACAACTAACCATTAGCAAAGTGCTGCATTTAACACATAATGTCCAGAGCTGCAGTGCTGAAGTGCTGCTTATGTTTCTGTGTCTAAACTGTGGTCAGTAATTCTGATGGTTTGTCTGTTCTGGTCAGAAGAATGTAGTGTGGGTCTTGGAGGACGTTCTCTCTTATCTCCCAGCTGTTTCTAATGAAAGGTTGAGTTTGGAGTTCACTCTTGTTTACAGACATCAACTCAACTGTCAGCAGTGTAAAGGTGCTGCATCTCCTCTTGGGTTTGTGTGGAGTGTCTGATCATTCATCCTATAATGACCTTCATCAAACATTTTAAAATGCAGCTGTTGCTTTATTTATTCAGCTTTTCTCATTGTCATTAACTGTCATTGTTTTTTTTTGTTTTTTTTCATGGGCGCTGTCTTTTCGTTCACTTTTGTCCTTTTTTCATTGCCGTTGTCCTTTTTCACTGCTCTTGTCATGTTTTCTATGGCGTCATATTCCAGACTTTTGTCAAATTCAAATGCAAATTTGAAAATGCTAATTCTGTAAAGTTTCATTTCCAGTGTGAGTGCACACTATTAAAGACATAATTCAAATCCAAATGCAAGATATGTATTTGCATTTTTGTGTTTAATGACTGGAGAAAGTACTAATATTAGTGACATGGAGACATGGAGGTGTTCTGAATTGTGCTGCTTTGTCTAAATGTCCTACCACAGACGAAGCTGAAGGGAACTTCTTATTCAAATTTCCCTGTTCCACCTTAAATGGTGCAGCAGTTACATTCCTACTGCAATGAACTGAAAAATGTGGTATAAAATGTTCATCCTCTTTCTAGAATAAAATTTAAGGTGGAACAGGAAAATTGGATTAAGACGCTGAATGCAGCCTCATCTACCATAACGCATATTTATAGGTAGCACCATATATAAAATTAAGTGAAAGCACAAAATGTGTCAGTCAGACAAACAAGACACTGAAAATGAAATGAAAAAGCACTTTGCTTTTCCACATTAACTTTTCCAGCCATTATACACAGAAATGCTAATGCAAAAAAATGCATTTGAATTATTCACACTCACACTGGAAATAAAACTGTAAATACTAAGGGTCGACTGATTATTGGCCTGACTGAAGAAGAGCCTGTTTCACTCTCACACTGAGAGGAAAAGGTGAAAACGTCACAGTTGATTAACACAGTTGGTAAAAAGATCAATGTACTCGGTTATATAATTTCACTCACACTAGCCAGACAAATGTGACTCGCACGTTCAGAATGTGTGTGCCTGCAGCAGAGCTTCAGAGGGATAACTATGCAGACAAGCCTCCAGAAAGCACTAAACTATTTGTAAAGTCATAACAGATTGTTTTACATTTGATAAATAAGTTCTATATAATTTCTGGTCATTTTCATTTCTCTTTTTGCTCATTAGTGAAAGTACAGGCAGCTGCCGCTCGCTACTTCCAAAAATCCCGCTGCTCTGCTGAGACTCTACAGGCAGTTTCCATCAAATCATGCAGCACAGAAAATATCTGATACACTCAACACATCCAAATACTGCTTGTTACCACATTAAATACGTTTTTGCTTGAGCAACAAAAAGAAATACACATATTAACATTCATATTTCCTCATTTTTGTTACTTTTTACAAACTAGTGATACTGTTTACTGCATGGTTTCTCAAATTCTTACTGTATTTTTTATTTTTACTGTAATACTATTACAGTTCTGTGTGTTGGGTTAGTGGAGGTTTTCTCCAGTTTTTAATCGGTATCTGATAAATATCAGCTCCAAATATCAGTTATTGGTGTCCTTGATAATCTGATAATCTGTGTCGGTATCAGCCCTGAATCATATCGGTCGACCCCTAGTAAATACACAAGTGAATTAGCATTTTCAAATCTGCATTTGAATTTTGAATTCAAATAAGTACGGAATATGCTGCCATATTTTTCTCTGTTCCTGTCCTTTGTTCACTGTCATTGTCCTTTTTGTCACTGCTGTTATCCTTTTTTCACCGTCATACATTTTTCACTGTCATTGTCCTTTTTTCACTCCTGTTCACTTTTTCCTTCCGTTGCTTTTTGCTTTGCTGTTGTCCTTAATCATTTGTCGCTGTTCTTTATCCGGTTGTCTGTGGTCACATGAAGAAGTCTTCTTTTGTTGCTGTTGTCTTTTGTGATTTCCTCTTAACTGACCTTCATAACCTGAAACATAAACCAAGATTTGCAATCATCAGCACTAGAGGAACCTCTGAGGCTTTCTAGAGACAAATGTTGAATTTTTAAATCTTAAACCATCATCTCCACTACACTCTCTCCTCATTTGTCACTACATATTTTAGGCTTGCTGCTTCTTCTCCTAGCCTACCTGGCTAACCTGATCCTAGGCTTGGACGGTGGAACCACTCATGCTCCCTGATCTGCTGCAAACTAGGCCTCCTGGATGGTTTGTACTGCAGGCACCATTCAATCAGATCATAGCATTCTGTGCAGAGTGAAGAGATGGATGGGAGAGATGCTTAACCACTACATTTCAGAAGGACTACCAGTGAAGGGGTAGGATGTAACTACAACATGTAAATTATACTATTTTAAACTTATACATTTATGGACATCCATCCTTGCCACACCACAAACTCTTCCTCTTTTACCTTGAATATTCCCTTTTAACTACAGATTATGTTTTCAATTTCTCTTCCTCTGTACTTAGTTACTAAATATGCCTCATTTACCTGGACACTCCCATTTATCTTACCTTGTGATAGGTCATCTCCGAAGTCCAGACCCCCTAGAACAATGTCTAGTTCATCAGCAAAGGGAAAGCGTCCACATACCATCCTGAACAGCAGGACACCAAGCGACCAAACTGTTGCAGGATCGGCGTGATACTTGTCCTCCATAAAAAATTCAGGAGGGCAGTATTGTAACGTGCCTGAGAACATAAGAAGGGAAAGAAACAAACACAGGTGAGCACAATAATCCATTTAACAACTAAGCAGCTACGCATCTCTTTTCAGGATGATGTTTTTAGATGAGCTATTAGCAGTTAAATTTACCTTCATATTCAGAGTACCCCGTTCTCCTGATCTTATCTCCACACCCAAAGTCGATCAGCTTGACCTCTGAGGTGTCTGTGTTAATCAGCAGGTTCTCCAGTTTAATGTCCCGATGCAGGACACCTCGCAAGCTGCACTGGTTTGCTGCCTCCACAGCCAGGAGCATTATATTTCGGGCCGTCTCTTCATCAGCATAGCCTCCTAAGTTGTCAAGGAAGCTCTTTACGTCCACACAAGGGTCAGGGCGCTCCAGGACCAGGACGTATTGGTCTGGCTCATCAAACCACTCGATGAGCTTGATGATGTTGTTGCAGACAGGTGGCTCGTTCATCATCTGCATCAGAGCCACTTCCACAGGCACGGCTCTGGATTCAACAGGCTGCAGGAAAGCAGATAGTATGATAGTGAGATGAAGAACATGGGGAGAAACTCATGGGGGCTGTTTGGGACCATCATGTGTTACTATAAGTAGGTGCACTTACGCTTCGGAGATATCGGCTATCAGCTGGCTGTTTTGATACAAATTTGATGGCCACCTACAAACAAAGACAAAAGATATTGAGATTTCCAGCAGTGAAAAGAGAGGAGGAGAAATAATGACTGTTAAAATGAAATGAATGAAAGAGGAGTGAGCCGAACCTGTAGGCCATCAGAAATGCGACTTCCCTTGAAGACAGACCCATAGCTTCCTTGGCCCAGTTGTTCTCCAATCACATAATGGGAGGCGAAGGTGTCTATGGAAAAAAATAATGTTACAAACGAACGAAATTTTTAGAGAATTTTACAGAGGTTTACCAATCAACATTACTGGCTATGAAGGATTTAGTGGAATCTACTTTCTGTGAACTTCATTTAGATAATTCCAGCTCTTACAATAAAGTGAAATTAAATATTTACAGTGTGCAGTTGTCTGACCAGTGGACGGGCCTGGCTCGGTGGCTGTCCTCTGTCCCTGAGACATTCTTTTGGGCTGGTTCTCTGCCCCCTTCCTCTTCTTTGCTGGATTGTTGGGATTGCAGTGTGTTCCCTCTGCCACACTCTGGCTGCATCCCTCCTCTTTCCTCTTCCTCTTTCCTCGTGGAGCATCTGAGTACAGGATGAGCATTTGAATATTTAATGTTCTGGTCACTTTACCTACCTTTTCTACTCCTTTTCCAATTCTGACTGCATGTCACCTCTTTTTATCCAATCACATTTCCTGAATGATAGCATTTAGTTTTACAGTATGGGGCAAGTGGACTGACCTGGCTCAGTGGCTTTTTCCTGTCCCCGAGTTGTTCTCCTGGGCTGGTTCACTGCCCGCTTCATCCTCTTCCTTGCCGGAGCTTCCATGTGGGGAACCTCGCTCTGGCCACATTCCTCCTCTTTTCTCTTCCTCTTTGTTTTATCTGAGTACAGGATGATTATTTGAGTATTTAATGTTCTTTCATAGAACATGAGCTGAATATATCTGTAGTAATGATAATTCTAGGCTGATAAATTGCATTATAATTTATACTGTTAGCATGGAATAATATTTAAATGTGCTCATATTGTTCTGGTGATAAAGAGAAACTGACAAACTAACAAATATCTATTCCAAATAAACAATTCAATAAACAAACAAGAAAGTATGGAACCTCTCCCTGCAGTGCGCTTCTCCATCCTCTTCTGCTGTATGAAATCAGACGTGAGCTACTCTGTTTATTTCTCATCGAACTGATCAGAAATGACCAAATTCTGAGTGTAGAAGGTTTTTAACATCACTCATCCATTGTGACATCATAATTAAGATGTTCTATGTGGATGCATGTTGCCATGGTGCCGTGTTTATACACACACACACACACACACACACACACACACACATACACACACAGGTGTATGCAAAAGTTTTGGCACCCCTGGTCAGAGTCCATGCTTTCTTAATTTTCTAAGTGAAAATAAATGAACACATCGTCCACAGAGAAAACACATCTGTACATTAACGCTACATTGTGTATTCTGTGCTTTTCCTACACAAACAGAATATGACATTCTGAGCTACACTGATAATAAATACACTGATAACATCTCTTAAAATGTTATGTAAGGAAATCATATTGTTCAACAGAACAGAGCTGTTCAACATTGACAGCTCATATTATTGACTTGATTAATTAAATTACATTTTAGTTACAACTTATAATGTATTTTTAGGTAGTTATTACATAGTTGTGTAATGTAGTTTGTGAGCGTTGTTTCAAGTAAAATAATGAAGTGTTTAACTCAGAATAATGCTTTATAATTAATGATCATATCAGTCAGCCAAGCACTGTTTAACTAAAACTACTAGAGTCTACTAGTTTTGAGCACATAAAATGAGTGACTGCGACCATTGATTAGAATTTTGAGCTCTGTTTAATCAGTATGATTGACATCATTTTTAATCTTTATCTTTAATTTATATTACAGATAGACTTGATGCCTTTTTCTGAGATCTTGTTGACGTTTTTCTTCAATGTTGAATTCTCATGAGACACATTTACACTGTAAAAATGACTCAGTTCAACCTAAAAAAGTACTTCATGTGGTGACAAGAAAATTAACGAGTTTTTTAGAAATAAATCGGCTTAACATGATATTCAGTGCAGACATACAAATTACTGACTAAATATAACAAACAGAAAAAAATTCTGCAAACCATGTTTACATTAATCAAAGCAGGGAAATCGTTTAGACACTTGACATTAAAGCTGCAGGTTTTAGCGACAGAAGCCACTCCATCAGATTAGCTAATGCTAAAGCTAACACTGGAGCTAGTCAGATTAATGTTAGATGCAGAGCAGGTCTCATAATTTTTACACAAGATGTTTCAAAACACTTTAATTAAACAGTAGAAAGAATTTCATGTGTTGGAGTTTATTAATATTGAGCTTTACACAAACAGACGATGCTGAATTTGACTTTTTATTTATCAGCTTCTATTCGTTTAACCAAACTGTGCAAAAATGAGAAAGAGTGATTTCATGTTGGGCAAGTTTGCTGGAGATTTGGATCCAAACAACCAGATCATCTGCACTGTAATATTTAGTTGAGCTAACATCAGAACATTTGTTGTACTAAGAAAACAACTAGTCTTGAGCAAAGTTGTTTGAGTTGTACTGAGTTTTCTTTCTTTCTTAAACAAAGAAATGTAGTTTAAGTAACCATTACATTCTCACTCACTAAACAAAGCCTGAAATTCAAAGTCTGAAATTCACTAACAATATTCATTGGAAATCAAGACTAAGGAATATAAGTTGTGTCATTAAATCTAAAGAACACAGTGAGTGTCCAGTTCTACAGTAAAACTGTGAATGAATGTGTAAAGAAATAGAAGAGGATGTACAACACAGGTGAACACAGGTGAACACAGGTGATCTGCCACAGTTCTAAGGAAATAAGGCTATACATGAAGCTACTATGTACTGTATCATGTCTTGTAAATCGAAGCCTTTGCTTTAACTGTCTAAACAACATATACAGAACTTACAATTCAGACAAAATTAATGGAATAACAATTACACAAGTAAAGAAACAGCTTCAATGGTGTTTACCAAATATCATAAACTAAGCTGGTGAGTGCAGCACAGCACTGTACTACATTATATGTCTACACTCACTGGACACTTCATTACGAACAGCTACCTTATATTTATGCTCACTGTCTATTAAATCAGGTCTATTAATATATAGGTGCACTTTGTAGTTCTGCAGTGGCAGATTGTAGTTGATCTGTTTCTCTGCATAATTTGTTAACCCTTTTACTTTGTTCATCAAAGATCAGGACCCCAACCAGGACCACCACAGAGCAGGTATTACTATTTCGTTCTCAGCACTGCAGTGAAACTGGCATGGTAGTATTTGTGGTCCTAGTACTAGTGTATCAGCATCACTGCTGCAGTAAGAATGCCAAAAAAGGCCAAAAGTTTCCTGTGGGCAGCGTCCTATGATGAAGGACTAGAGGATGACCAACATAAACTGTGCAGCAACAGATGAGCTATCGTCTCTGACTTTACATCTACAAGGTGGTCCAACAAGGAAGGAGTGTCTAATAGAGTGGACAGTGAGTGGACACAGTGTTTAAAAACTCCAGCAGCGCTGCTGTGTACAATACATCACCCTAGAAGGGGCATAGAAGTAGAAGAAAAAGAGACACTGAAACAGGACTTTAGTAAAATTCATGTTTCAAACTTTGGTTGTATAAGTTGGGGATCCATCACTGCAGCAAATACAGGGAGATTCACTTGAAAGAGGCCCTGAATATTCTGTAATAACTCTTGCTAGGACGAATCAATCTGAACGAAACAACGTGCAATGTGCTCCTCAGTATATGGAGCTTGGAACAAGCCGGGCTGCCCCTGCGTCGGAGCGATGAGGTAGGCACCGGCCAGCTGTCGCGACATTTAACCTTTCTAATGCTTGCTGATACGTTCAGGAACATGGAGCACCGTGTCGAAATGTGTCTGGCAGAAATCACTTCCAGCATTTTATGTAATGCAATCAATTACATATACGTCAAGGTATGTAGCGTATTTTTTGGTTCGGATTGCTTCATCCTAACGGGAGTTACAGCAGAATATTCGGGGCCTCTTTCGAGTGAATCTCCCTGTATATTAGTAATGAAAACTCGTGAGGAGTGAAGAAGAAAACACAAAGTCATCCTCACCAGTCAGAATTTTAGTGATTTTAAAATGACATGAAATGAAAAATTCTGGTGCACTTTAAACTACAGGAAAGAGAAAAAAACAAGTGGTTCAGTCAAACAAAAAAGTTGTATTACCTAGAAACAAAGCATGGGCACAATCTTCACAGGCACAACTTAGAGTATTTTCTAGTTTCAATGAAAGAAGCCCACCATCTTACAACTTCGTCTCAATCCTTAAAAGTGGACAGACTCTGGTCCACATTGTACTGAAGAATATTAGTTACCAGCTCTGAACAAAGCAGGAGGCCACAGTTATTTTTTTAATTTTACATTAAATCACCTTAAATCTGAGTGTTTTCATTCCACAATTTGAGCTTCAGATTCACGCTGTGAAAAACGACTCGTCAGTTAAACCTAAAAAAAAATACTTCATGTGGTAACAAGTAAATTAACTCATTTTATTCAGGGTAAATAAATAATTGAAATGAACAATTCTTTCAATCGATGTAACTTTTTTAGGTTGAACTGATGAACCAATTTTTACAGCGCATGAATGATGCAATATGTTTATTTAAATGGTAAGAAACAGAAATATGATCTGTGCTACAGATAGGAGAACTATTGAGTTCCCCCTTCAAAACAACTCATGGAATATCCACACAATTCATGTGAACGGCCTATCTACCATTCAAAACGGTGAACTTTCCTGGGTTTTCATGTTTAAATATACAGTTTAAAGAGAGAAAACATTTTAAACAGTTATAAAACTGTTCTTTCCTACCGGTTATTACAGTCAGTCAATAATCAATCATGAGAGAGAGAAACAAAGTGGTGATGTTTTGTTAGAATTTAAAATACTGACATCTGTGAAAAACCTCATATCTCCAAAAAGGTAACTTTTCAGGAGAAGAAAAAAACATTAACTTTTAATGGAAGAGAAAGGATAAATATTTTTTCCAAGTAATTCTGGACAGTTTCTATTGGTTCACTCATCACTCAAAATGTCAAAAAGGGCAACTGGCTTTTTCAAATTATGTAAAAAAAATTAAAAACGAGGTTTTGTCCCAACAGCAACAATATTTATTTTGGGTGATTATGATCACACTGGTAGAAACAACTAAGAAAAACAAACCAGCAACATGTTAGAGAAAGAAAGATAAAGCTGCCTCCATACCTGAGAGATGCTGGTGGTAGATGGAGGAGATGTGGAGGTCATGATAAGAACAGTACCAATTTGGTTAAGCCTTAAAGCAGCAACATGAATAGAAGAGAAACATTAGTCTGATAAAGGATTTTGAGTCATTTTGCATCTAGTTACCAAATCATGGCTCAGATAAAATAATAACTTACTGTTTTAACTGTAACTGCAGCTCCAGTCACTCCCTCAGATTTCTGTTTTTATCTTCTAAACTCATGAGAGTGAAGCTGGTCTGTGGTCTGTGAAGCCGTTAGCCTGCTAGCCAGCAAACTAACAACCCCACACATCACAGAACCTGGTTAGTTTCTCCTTTTCTGTCACTCCAACGCCAGACACTCGACCGCTCCTGCTCAGATTTGAGCCTTTATTCGTTGTGCGTTAGGATAAGTTATCCGGAACTGAGCCGGTATTACAGCAGAGCTATTAACTTAGCCTGCTAACGTTAGCTAAGCTTGCACAAGCACATTAGCTCGGTAGCTAACAACTCTAACAAGTGTACACACCAGTTCATTAGACATGGGATATGAATTTGACACCGCTCCAAATTCATTAAATAACTCTTCTCGTATTATTTTGTGAGAGCGCTCATCTAAAAGAGGTGACTCACTAGGCTACCACAGCAGATAATGGCGAGCTAGCTAGCTAACTGACTGACTGTTAGCAAACGATGCTCATGTTCGTTTTAACATATGAAGAGTTCAACATTAATAAATTACAGTATTCGGTTTGATTAAATGTCTGAAAAACTGTTGGTACATCAAATTAACCAACCATTTACTTAACAGATGCGTTTTGAAGCCTTCCTAAGTTTCCAGAAGCTGCTCTAAGCGCGCGCTTCCCGCGGTGGAGCGTTGGTAATGGCTCGGACCTCAGTACGGGTAGAATCTGCCTCAATACAGGTGGAATCTGCCTCGGTATGGTAGAATCTGCTTCAATACAGGTAGAATCTGTCTCAATACAGGTGGAATCTGCCTCAGTATGGGTAGAATCTGCGTCAATACAGGTGGAATCTGCCTCAGTACAGGTAGAATCTGCGTCAATACAGGTGGAATCTGCCTCAGTACGGGTAGAATCTGCGTCAATACAGGTGGAATCTGCCTCAGTACAGGTAGAATCTGCTTCAATACAGGTAGAATCTGTGTCAATACAGGTGGAATCTGCCTCAGTACGGGTAGAACCTGCCCGTGTATTTTTCTCCTAAACATCAGTTGCTGAGTCTCGCCCGTACCCGTCCCGATTCCAGTGTGCCAAAACTCTTAGTCGAAACTGCCGCACAGCCCGGGCTGACTCTTCATGTTAGCTGGGTTATTAGCCCGTTAGCATGTTAGCTAGTGTCACCTAGCTAACAGCCAGCCTGCTACAGGAATATAATGTTGTTGCTACTTAGTCCAGCTACAGAGAATGGACAATATAAACCATATAGAGTCGCTAATGGCTGTTTTTTGTTAAGTGTTAACTTTTGCAGCAAAACTATTTCTATGTGTAGTTTTGTACACTGGGTTTGATACACTCTGTTAGCTCCATGTTTATAATCAGTTGAACGCTACTGAATCAGTTTGCTGACCCGTCCAGGGATTACAACCCATGTAAAAACATCACATCAACTTGAAATTGTCAGTTGATGCAGAGTGTGTTATGAGCCAGGAACGCAGTACAGGTTGTTGAGTCAGTTAAATCATCATGAGAAAGTTGGGCCAGCTGTATTTTTTAAATTTGCCTAACATCTAGCGAGTTGGATTTTTACAGTGTGGTCACAATTTCTTAATTCGCTCCCATGAATTCTTTTTTGTTTTCTTTTAATCATGTGCACTTTTCTTTCCTTCGTGGGTACGTTTTTATTTAACTTGTGATCACAATTCCTTAATTCGTTCTCTCGTTTTCTTTTAATCTTGCTCATGTTTTCTTTTCAATTGAACACACGTTGTTGTTTTTTATATTCATGCACAAACAAAATAAATGTAGCTGATACAGGCTGTTTTATTTGCCCTGTGCAGAAGTAGCTAACAGCTCCCTGATACTGTCTGACAGGTGATGTGTTAGACTGATGTGATGATGGACAGAGATGCTCATTAGGTCTGATTCTGATTTGGGTGGTTATGAGGAAACTAGGGGTGCGGGAAAAAGTCGATTCTTAGATGCATCGCGATGCGGACGTGAATGATTCTGAATCTATTCACAAATGTCAAAAATTGATTTTCTAAATATTTAATTTATGACGTAATGTTGACGGATCACAAAAGGTGGAACTTGGAAGCGTGGAAGTGCAGCGCCCGGACAGTCTGCGGCGGCACATAACAAAAACACCACTAGATGAGTGAGAAATCTGACCGGCTGCATTGAAAGCCAGGTTAGGTCAGGAGTCACAACCCAAATGATAAGAAGAGCCATTTTGTCCTTTCAACAAAAATCAAACCACCTCGGCAGCCACAACATTTAATGTCCAGTCTGTGTCAGTACGAAAACACTGACTTACTTTGCTCTGCTTTAAACTTTAACTAGTTATAGCCGCTTTCCTCCCATCTCCACCAGAATGTCACCCTAACAGCGCATTTTATCACAGATGAGTGGCAGCAGTGCCTCATGTGCTCCAAACAGCAATGAATGAGAGCCGTCAAGGTAACTTGCCACATAACTTCCATTTGATTTATTAATAAAAGATACTGGAAGTAAATTCATTACGGATCATTACAAATACTTTGCTGTAAAACTACCAAGTCCTCAGACAGTGAGAAAATAGAAATCCTGTATAGCAGAAAAAGATGCATCGATAATCGTTTTATAATCGCATCGCAGCCCTCTGAATCGTAATCAAATCGAATTGTAAGGTGCCTGGAGATTCCCACCCCTAGAGGAAACTGTAGCTCCTCTTCACAGCGGACCATCAGAATCAGCGAACGACCGCAGATTCATCAGTGCAGCTTCAGTTTGGTTGAAAAATAAAGGAAGACAAACTACAACCACGATCTTCACTAAACTGCACTTTCTAATGATTATATTTAACAGAGATGAGTGCAGTGCAGCAGTGCAGCCGCTTAGCCCTGTTTCTGCTCACGAGTCAAGCTGTGGTGTTAGAGACCATCACACAATCACAGGAAGAGAAAATGTCGACTAGACCTCTCAGTTTTTATAGTCTGTTACTCCTAGATTTAATCATCAGACATCATCATATTTATATCATCAGCAGCAGCATCACCATCTCCATCGTTCAGGCTAACCCTAGTGCTGATAAACTGTGCAGCAACAGATGAACTGCAGTCTGTAACTGTAAACCTACAAAGTTCAGCTGTATGGTAGGTGGCCATGGAGTGTAGCTACATAGTGAGTGTAATAAATGGTCACTCTGTGTTTGGAGATTTATAAAGTATGTATAGATTTTTGAGCATGTGTTTGTTTATTTGAGAGCAGAGACACTGCATCCTGAATTATGTGGAAGAAACTAAGAAACGCTGTGAAAAGACAAATGAAAATCTCAAACCTTTGTTTATTATGATAGTAAGTTAATAGTTAACAAGTAGTTTAAACAGATAGAACACACACTTAAAATGACCTGAAAGGTGGTCAGATTCTTAAATCAGTCAGTTTAGTGTCATAATGCACTTTCAAGGTATCACATTATTCTTTAATGAATTAATTAAACCATGACTTAAATAAGCTAAAACACACTCAGTTACAATTGACAATGACAGCTCTGCTGCAGGTCTTTGCAACACAGTCACTGAGTTCTTTGATCTACCGCTTGAGCTCTTGAACCTCAATGGCGAGATTCCACTTCTGAGCACCAAAATGACATCTTGGCGAAAAAGAAAACACAAGTAACATAGTGCTTTAAGCGAACACTCTTTATTGAACACAGCAGCAGTGGAGAAAACACTGCCAGTGCTTACTGAACAGCTGAGATAGCAGGCAGGTCTTCAATAGCCACACACTTCAACATGACGGTAGGCACAAACACTGCACTACTACCCCAAAGCCCAGCACAGATCACAAAAGCAGTACATTTACACATTTGTAAGCTAACAGCCACAATTATATACAAGATTTAAAGTCTCTCTTACTGTGAGTCTGGTGCTTCCCAATATCAGGATGGTATGATATACATGTAGTGACATATTCTTATGATCATAATTCAGACACTCACTACCTGTATAAATTCATTCTAAGCAGCATCAACTTTAACTGTGCTGTTCCACTGTTACTGACGTCTTCACTGGTAAGATCCTCAGAGGATGATCAGATGCATTAAAGAAAAGTGGTAAAACTCTCTCAGTGAAAGTGTGTGTTATAGTGTGCAGGTGTGTGTTGGTTAGAAGATCAGTGAAGGTCACTTCCCCCTTGTCCCAGTCCAGCTGCACTCTGACCCTCTGCAGCTTCTCTTTAGGTGTGAGGTAGTGACCTGGCTGATCTGGGTACAGTATCCAGTATTCATCAAAATAACACAGACTCCACACTGAATTCCAGAAAGAGTCTCCTTTTCTTATTACAGACTCTGTTATCACACCCAGTCTCCAGTTATCACTGTCTCCGACCTGGACGTCCCAGCAGTGTGTCCCTGAGTTAAAAGGCTCAGAACCCAAAACACATGTGTACACATCAAACCTCTCTGGATTATCAGGAAGTGATGATCTCTGGTTTCTGTCTTCTACAGCAGTGAGATCATCAGACAGGTGGAGGTGTGGATGTGCAGTGTTGGGGTCCAGAGTAACAGGGGCTGAGGAGAGAGAACACAATGAAACATCATGTTTTTCTCTCATTTCTGTAAATGTTTTACCTCTACAGACTATTTTCTTTACTGTGAGTAAAACAGCTTTAGAGGTCGATTCCAGAACACAGATCAACTTTAATACTGGACTAAAGTCTGATGTACAGTTCAGTGTAGCACTCAAGTATACAACCTTGTTTCCCAAAAAGTTGGGACACTGTGCAAAATGTAAATAAAAACATAATGCAATGATGTGCAAATCATTTAAACCCTATATTTACTTGAAAATAGTACAAATTAACATAGCAAATGTTAAAAA